GGGGGGGCGCCCACGGGGTGGGGCTCAGCCTTGGCCAGCGCGGGCCTGGTGCCAGGCGGGCGGGTTCAAACGGGGGCGTGCTGTGGCCGCCGGTCTGCGGGGGCAGCGTTTGGCTGTTTATCTTAGGGGCCACGACTGCTTCGAAGGAATTCAAGGCCTTGGTTTAAGAATAAGTGTGTACTGAGAGCAGCTGAGGCGGCAGCAAGGTTTCTGTTGCTTGCTTGGGCCAGAGATGATGGGCGTATTAAAACAGCAGGGCAAGAAGGGCAGTGGATATGGTGAAATGCTCGGAGGCTCGTTCTAGTCTTGAGAGTGAACCTGCTAGGACTTGAAAAGTCTCTGTTAAAGCCCAGATAGGGGAAACAGGGCGAAGAGCTGAAATCTTCCTGTGGCAGAACAGAAATACTTACATATGGTCCAGTTCATCAACTTTGATGGCTTTTATTTAAACAAATGTGTAATAAAATACACTTTTTCCCCAAATATGCTGTTGAATGGTGGTGTGCAGTGTGCCAGATTGTATGAAAATATAAATTAACTTTAACATGAAAAAGTGGGTGTGTAGAAAAGCTGTAATGATATACCTCTTCATCAGGCCTACAAGTTACATCTTTCACCAGGCTCTGCTTCATGACTGACTTCTTGTGCAAATTGCTATCCACAGTAGAAGTGGGTGCTTTCTCCTGTGTATCTGACATAGCAACTCTAGCACTAAAAATGGGAGATGAGAGGAATGTAGAGATACTACACTCTCAGCATGGTAAGACTGGTCCATAGCATAGATGTGCTGCAAAACGATGTAAATAATGTGCAGTATGTGAAGCCTTCTCTTGCAGAGAACTCTCTTGTGACAAAGACATTTCCACTTCCAGTAGGAGAACAAAAGTTTTCATTCAATTCATAAGCTCTTATGGCCAAAACTATTTAGTAAAATGTATTTTTTCCAAATATATTATTTGTAGTGCAGGTATGCAAACAAAATTTGCTCAGTGAAATTCTTAATAAAAATCTTAAGTTCAGTGTATCTTAATCCTTTATTTACTCTAGAGAAACCAGTGCTGACTCCCGGACACGACCTGGGAACCTGTAGAGATCAGTTGTAAGTGTCCAGAAAAACAAAGTTATGCAAATGACTGATTTTAAAGAACTTTCTTGAAAATATTAACTAACAGCAAACACAACAATAATAATGCATTATAAATATTACATATAATAACGTGTCTAGGCTAGTTTTTAAAAACTTACTAGACAGAAAAGAATCTTATTTCTGAAAGTTTGTGCATTGTAGGCTGTTGAGAAACACTAATGACGGTAACTAATGACTGTCACCTTCCAAGTCGTGAAGGAGCAATGCCCTCAGTATGGGCAGGTGGAAACCTCACCATGAATACTGCCTTTGCCCTTAGCACTGCTTTTATAAATGACTCTTCAGTGTCAAACTACATGAATATTAATCAGGAAAGCAGATAGTAGTTTCTCAGCTCTCTGGACAGACCAGATCTAACCTGTAGCTTAATTTTGTTCCCTGTGGTTACCTGAACTGCTCTGCATCTGTAAGCTGTGGTCTTTTCTAGCTGCTAGATGTGAAACTGTTTCTATGCTTGTTGCCTGTGGTCATTTTTTTGTAGTCTTCCCCGACACCTTTTTTTGGCCTAATTTAGGCTAAAGGCAGCAAAACATTGCTTATAAGCACTTAAAGCTTAAATTAAAGTCTAGAAAATACTCTTAATTCTACTGCGTGTCTATGGCTTTCTTTATTCTTTCAGTTTGCCATGCTTTCTGCTTGTTCTTTTAGTTAGCTGAAGTTTTTGTGCTCTGTGCCCTGTGAATACGCATCTTTATGGGGTTTGCTCTGTTGAACGTTGTATTGCAGCAAGAAATCCCATGCTTTGGCTTCCAAGGTGCTATTAAGAGATCTGTGATGGGATGTGATGTAAACTCATCGTTCTCCTTGAGCTTAGAGGCATTCTGAATCAGAGATGCAATTCAGATATTCATATGGGAACGTTTTTTAGTTTCCAAAGGAGGCTCATGGGCAGGAAGTGGATGTGTAATTATTGGTTTGGCTTGGTGTATGCGCTCAGAAGTTTAATGAAAGTGATAGGCAGCTCAACTGTCTAAAAGAAATGAGCGCACCTTGAGCATCTGTTTCGTTATAGTTGAAGCTCCTGATAATGTATAAATGCATGAATCTGGTCAGTTGTCTTCAGAGAATTTTTGTCTTATGTTAACCATTTAATCAACGGTCTTATGTTCTTATGCTCATTTTATCCGTAACTTTTTTTATTGTTGATGTAATACAGTAATAGCATACAGCAGCTTCAAAACACAATTTAGTTGCAGGAGTAAGTTACTGTGTTATTGAGAGGAAATGAGTTGACATGGACTGCTGTGAACCAGTGAATACCCTCAAATCCTAATAACAACAAGAGCCAAATGCACATCACAACTTAAATACATGTGCTGTGCTTACAGCATCTTTTTAATGACAGTCATTTAACTATTTAGGCCACATGCTGCTGTAGGGAGAATACACTGGAATTTGAACTAATGTTATTCTTTGATTTATATCAGGGGCTTAGTTCACATATGAAGGGTTTTTTTTTTACTTGGAATTGTTGGCTTTCTGGGGAATTACCATCAGACCTTTAACTCTTGATCTTTCCTTTTCCTTTTCAGGCTATTGTTCATACTCTAGATCCCTCAGGAAGAAGACAGTTTCATCAGAACCTTCAGCTGTGAGAGATCTCTACAGGTCTTTAGAAATTAGAGGTACTGGGGCCAGAGATTCTAATTAAATATATTCTGTTTTGAAGCAGTTTAGTATTTCAACTTGAAGGTGGAATCTTTCTTGTGTCATCTTGCAAATGACAAACTTCAGTGTATCCCTTGATGTAATAACAGTGTAGTTATTGTAGCCCCCACTCTGATCTAAATCAGGGCTATGAGAACACTATAATCAAAGCCTTGGAGGTATCAAAGAAGTATACTCTCCTTAAAGTCAGTGCTCATTTTATTTTTTGGTTTTCCACAGAAGTGAGATAGTTATGACAACTGAAAATATTAAAAGTGCAAATGGACAATCTAACAATAAACCTCAGAATTTTTAGGTTTTTCCCAGATTTTTGTAAGGGGTTTTCTGCTCTAGAGCTATGACTTTCAAGAACCCAAATTGAATTTTGGGAAAATTTCTGCATAGGCATTTTCCTTCTCTTGAACACCAGGACCTTAAAAATGAATGTGGAGGTGTAATACTATGAATCAGATATAGGCTATCTTTGGTGCATATGGAATGGTAATGTCAAGGTCCATGTTGTTACCGGGAGCAAGGAAACTTGCGTTATTCTGTACTGTCTCCTGACTCTGCAAGTATCCTCTGGATCAGTAATGTTTTTCTTTAGAATCTCGTTCCTGCAGATGCAAAACATGCCTCTTTGAGGCCTGAAAAGGAAACTTTGAGGAAGAAAATCCTCCACGAGCACTGCTGTGTTTGATTAGCTTTAGGTATATATTAAAGAGAAATAAACTGAATGGTAGCATTTTATGAATTTTAATGTGTGTTTTTATTCAGGTACTATTTTACTGTATTTTTAATTTTCTCTCTATAAAATATAAGGACTGGTTAATCAGGAAAGTCATTCTTACATATAAAGTCCACCAAAAAGAAATCTCACTGAAGTAAATGTCTAAGAAAAATATTGTTTATTCCCAGAGCTTGGATGTGT